AGCACGCGAGGCTCCTCCGCTAAGATTTCAACCATGCCAGCAAGAACTCAAATTAAAGCACAGTTTTTCAGTAACAGTGTTAGATCTAGCTTCAACTCGCTTTTACGTCGTAATCTCGTCCTCCCAAATTATTGTACTTTCAAGAGATCCATTGACAAGTTCATTTCACTTAGTTGAGTTTATTATAAGGTCCTATAGTTTGTTTTATTTCCTTTTTCCTTGGTTGTGTTCTTTTCCTCATTTCACATGTTTACAACATGTCCGTTAAATAAATAAATAAATAAATAAGGTGCAAATAACTGCAGACGCCATTACTTTGTTCAAACGAAGTCTGCTACCGCAAAAACCACCCTGCTTCCAAATATCTGGATACAGCTGCTTTGCCGTAGGGAACCGGAGCGGATGGTGTAAAATATGCTTAAGTTGAACTTAAAAATTCTGCGCGATTCCCTCCACTACGAAAAAAGCTATGAACGAAAAAGCGTGAAAGCGCTTGGCTGAATACTTTTGAGCGCTACTGTTAAATGCACACATTAGCGTGCATAGTCCAACTGGTGTGCCCATGAGGAGAAATAGGACACTAACGCAATTTCTCCGGTGTTCTATGTACTAGCAGAAATACCATTAAACATGCGCTGAAGTTCTTCGTAATGGTCGTCTCCGAACATAAGGAGCCTCTGCCAAGATCTCAACTACCGTTGACCAGTCCTAGACTGAGTGCTAGCATTGCAACTCGCCCCCACTGCAATTTCCTCTTTGTCATGATTGGATTCAATCTGTAAATCTGTTTTTGAGAGATCTTTTTACGAATTCATCTTATTTATTAGGACCTGATCTATTTTGATAGTTTCTTGTTACTTTCATTTGACCTACTTCAGTATCATGTAAGAAGGGCGAAATTCATTCTATTCCCAGCTATTAGACTACGAAGGCCACGTCAACTATACTTTTATCACCTATCCTCTTTAATTCGTTATGAAGGCAACAAAACCTATTCGATATCCAGAAATTTGAGAATCACGGCCAATTATTTCTTGAGAAGGACAACAAATATGTACAACTTATAGTGGGCTGTCATCAAAGGCATTATTAAATACATCAGCGGCTTCGCCTTAGTAGTCAGGCTGCTCAATAACACAAAATCGATGCTCCAGTAAACGAAATCAGGGAATGGTGACTTTCTAAAAAATGGTTATTTTCAACTTTGAAGACAACGGATCAAAGTATCGTAAACATGAGCGATAAGGGTACTCGTGCCGGACATGCTGTTCACGCGTATTTGGAAGAACTCCCCAGCAAAAATTTCGCGGTCAGAGGGTAAATCAATCCTTTGTTTCGGAAAGGGAAATGGCGGATCAGATCAGCTGTGCATCTCCACTTTGCAACAGCTAAAAGGCAAGGCTGACTTGAGCCGAACACGCATTTTTCAGCACTATTCCGCACTTCGAAATCCTATAATTGGTAACTCATGTATGCATGTATGAGTAGCGCTTTCTTTGTTTTCCTCCAAACGAAAAATGATTACCGCATGACTCTACAGAGAGAACAATACTTACTTAGGTTCCTAAAAGTGCAGGCACTGTCAAAGTATCATTTCATTCATAATGAGAAGGCATGGGAATGAATGATGTGTCGCTACTTACGTTGGCAGTTTCGATTGCAACTGTGGAGAGATATTCTATGAGCTGATTAAGCGGAGAGAAGTTCATGAGAAACGGATAGTTTCTGATGCTTCTGAATAATCTAGCTACGTGCATTAAGGTCGAGAAGTCAACATGATCAACTACTTGACTCCAAAGTGAGCAAAAGGGGACGCGCGAAGTAGGCAGCATTTGAGAACATCGAAGGAGTAGAGAAGAAGGCGAATGGTCGGCTCTGCGCTCGCCTTTAAACCATGTTGTTCTTCCCATTTTGACGTGTATTTCAAAGGCCTGGATTTCACTGAGACAGAATGCAGCTTGACTGCCTGTAGAAAAGGCGATGGTTCGAAGTTCACGATACACGCACTTACGTCTAAACGAAAATCAGGGATGCCGCCGCATTTGCCAAGCATCCGAAGATCGCGTGGGGGGGGGGGGGGGACAAGTTACACGTTATTCGGTAGTTACTGACTACTGACTAGTATGTATGTACTGGGCCCCTCGAGACAAATGAATGCGAGGACGGCCGCCAGCGCAATGGCCAGACTTTCCACGAACTCTGAACAAAAGAAATGATTGCCTCGCATCCCTCAAGCGAGGACGATGCACTGGACCACAATGGCTCGACATGAAAAAAGTGAGACGTCTTTTGCTACTGTTCAAGGAAATCGATGACTAACGGGTGACACTATGAGGGGGTTCATTTTAGAGCCAGTGATTGAAGTTCCTATAAAGAAAACAAAGTAAGAAGTAAGAACTGAGGTTCGCTTAAGTTGAACAAGTATTTTTTCGAGGTTACCTTTCATCAGCATAATCCACATCGACTTTTTCCGTTTCGCTTACACGAATAGATGGTCGTGAGGCATCAGGCACCTGCTAGAAATCGATTTTTAGTCAAAATAAGTATAATAGTTATCGTCTTATCTAAACAGTGAACATACTGGGTTTTCAGTATCAACAGTTGCATATATGTGTTGCACTCGCGCTAGAACACCCGTCTGAATGCCGATATCCATCATTCGCCGGCGTTTCTCATCATCCAGCTCGGCTAGGTACACCTTAAGTAATACAATTTCGACTGAACACAGAAAGGCTTCCCGTTTGTTCATTCCACCTCTTTACACGTGTGCTTCGAATGGAGACCTACTCAATGCGAACGAAATAGCTCCTCATTTTTTCACACATGCTGCTGAGGCAAACTGAAGCGGGTGGAAAGTGTGCGATGAAGTGAAAGAAGTCGTAGTAAAGCAGTGTGTCGAAAGTATGCATAGTTGGTGTTGAGAAAAGAAGGTAAGCCGTTGCAGTGAAGCTATAAAGGTGCAGAATAAAAAGAAAAAAGCCGTGCAAGTGTTGTGCGAAGCGAGGACAGTGAATTGTGGCAGCTTGACGATGACTGTGAATACCTTTATCCAGTTCTCATTATCCGCTTGGCCAACTGCAGCCTCGAGCGACTCAACTACCGCTTGAACTTCGTCTTCACCCATTTCCACTTTGGCATAGCATTCCCTTTCCTTGGTCTCCGGTTTTGTTTGGATGGCCAACGAGTGTACTTCCAAGTTGAAGTACGACGCTACATCTTGAACGAGAGTTGGGGACGTCTGCTGGGAAACATCGAATTCCTTGATGGGTACGCGATCAAAATCACTCCAAAGCTGTACTCCCGAATATGCACTGTCGATGCTCCCCAGGGGGTCCATGTCCACCGTTGACGTAGTTTGCAGTGCCTTGTCTGTGTAGACAATCACACTCTGTGTGCAGGCATCTTCAGTTTCCACAGATGCTTCGCATTCCTGTATTAATTGCATAAAATCTTCTACACTCAAACTGAAAGGAGCACATTAAACTTCTGGAATAAAAAATATCAAAATATGCATGGAAGAGTTACATTATCTCCCACATTCATAATTCGTTTCACCATTTTTCACATTAAAAACCAGGGATTTCATAAATATATGAAACTCACTGATTACCTAAACTAAAAAGACCGCATCAATAAATCCAAGAATTTTGATAGTAAGCATACCTGATTCTTCTTATTTTTCATGCATATTTCGGTCTGTGAAGACTCGTCTGTCACACAAGTACAAGTATATTGAGTCTGCGATGTGCTGACTGCTGGTGTACACTGTACATAGACAGAGTCCATTGCTAGACTCGAGGTCTGAAGAGAGTGAGTGAAAGAGCGAATTAAGAAGTGGTACAACTGGGAAAGATATACTGTTCAATGACTGCAGGAACGGTGAGCTCTCCATTACTCAGCAAAACTTTGCCAAACAAGGTTCGAAGAAAATCATTATAGCGAACCTGGGAATAAGATGTTTTACATGATTCAGGTTCCATATACGTGCTGTTGTCAACTGAGTTTCGTTGCTCTGGCTGACCCTCAAATTAGGAAATAAAATGCAGGAAGATTGCTTCGAAAGATTAGTCATACTAGCCGTAAAGTCTCTTCTAGAACCTTTTATTTATCGCTCTTTCGTTTTCAGACTCGAAACGACTCTTGATGAAGTTCGAGTGCGATGTGCAACCCAAAAATGACATAAAACAATGCCAAGCCAGAGCCAGGCTCGTTGAACATCTTCCCGATTGTGCTAGGAAACATGGAAACTCACAGAATGTTAAGAGACGACTTTCTTCGGATTTTTCCGAGCTGACACGCCAGAACACAGGGAAGAAGGAAGAGGGAAGAAAGCAGTTTTAGTTGATGCCACCGAGATTGGGAAGAGTATTCGCGAAGCCCGCCGGAGCGTCGCTCGCCAGTTACAAGACCAAGACGACATCCCCTCGCCGTCGTGGTGGAACATTTACTGCTTCTCTTACGATTAAGGCAATGAAGAAGACCACTTACTGCTTCTTTCGGATCTCTTCGGCAGCCATGTCGGTCGTCCCGCTGCCTGCATAATATTATGGGCAGGATGAGTATTTTGCTCCTCCAGTTCTCCCTACCGAAATTCGACATGCTATCATCGAGGAGGCATCGTACAGTGAACGGTCCGCGTAGCACCAAACCAGAACATAGAGCCTCCTCCAGTCGTTGTCTGAACCCTGCATACGCCCGTCACCCGTGACCGCCAAAATGTTAAGCGCAAAATTCGTGAAAAACTAGCAAAGCTGTGTTGCTGTATAAAAAAGGAGATGCGTATGATATTGGCAGTCATCACCCAATCACCCAGGTCTGGTGTCACATAGGACATCCTCAATACTAGATTTGGTCAGATCAGAAATAGCCATGCGAGCAAGCAGGGTTTCGAATAGCATTCAGTACAATCGATCACGTCCACACTGTAACAATATTCATGGAAGTATCGCCAGAGTACAATATACCGATGTGTCTGACGTCACGTAGTCATAGGGCACGGCAAAATACCTTCATGGGCTACATTACGATACGTTTATCTATATTCAAAGAAGGCCTTTGATACCGTCTAGGCAGCTCTACTGATCAGAGCCTAAGACAAGGAGAATGTTCTTCTCAATGTATAAGAATACTTCGTGAGCTCTAGGACATCTTTACGTTTGGAATTTTGCCATCAAGTGTTGCGTCATTCAGAATTGGAAGACTTGGGAGTGAAGGTCGGCGACCGCTACACATCACCTCCGCTTTGCAGACGACATCGTGCTTATTGCTTAGTTTTAACAAAGTCTGCGGTGCCCTTTGGAATTGTCACAGGTCTTGAAATTTTATCCCTTTTTTCCTTACTAATCTCGAAATAGTACTAAAGCAGGAGAAAACCTACCGTCATCGCAAGCTCATCATCAGTTCCTGTCCCGACGCTATGCATGTCCTCATGGCTCTTTTCCACAGTCTAAAAGTATAACAGACAAGCGTAGAAATTCTGCCATTGGGGCCTTCACAGCTTAAGAGTTAAAAAAGGACCAAGAGGTTTTATTCATATCTTGGAGCACGACTGAATCTTCCAGTAGCAAAATGCAGCACTTATGTATCGGTAACGTCATGAACGACTTCAATGAGAATGAGCGCAGTCGAAGCAGGGAAGGCGATTTATGTTGTACGCCTACCTGAGCTTCACCATTTCGCATAGTCTGCTCGTTGGTTTGCGAAGAAGAATCCTTAAAAATCAAACGAAAATTTTTTAAGACACTTTAAGTCGGATTTCTGGTATAGGCGCGCAAGCACAGTAAAAGAAAACATGAAGAAAAGGCATCGAAACAAGAGGGAGAGGTGAGGTAAGAGAAAGAAATCAGAGACTATCGAGAAATGGTGCGCTGTCCGCACTACCGAAAATGCTGCCCATTACAACACTAAACCATAGAAGTTGAGTCATGCCCGTAGCGCGCGAAGCGCGGTGAGAGTGTGGGAATCACATCGCAGCAACTTAAGATTTCGAGGTATGCAGCCTATGACCTTATAGTGCACTAGCAATCCAAAGATCATAGTAAAGATACAAACTGAACTTTGAATGTTCCAGAGTCAAAGCGAGAATGAATGGAGCAATCACCTGTGAAACGTACCTGAACTTGATCATAGCACTTCAGTGTGTCGCTGGTTTGCGTAGAGGTATCCTGAAACATATAGCAGAAATGTTCTTTCTCTTCAGGAGTTCAATAGCCGAGCGCTGGTCGCTATTCCTGTCTCAGTCTCCCGCTTTCACATCCGAATTACTGTTACCAACCTTCAACCCACTACGATTGGCGCAAGTCTGTGTGCTAAAAATTTTTGCGGTACCTGGCCCATCCATGACAGCTTAGGAACATGAAGGCGAGGGCAAGCGGGGTCGGCAGTGTAAGGGATAGAGCACGGTCCCCGGAAAGGACAAGTACGGGTTCGAGTCCCGTCCGAGACTGGAGTTTTGTCCATAAATTGCCAAAAAAGCAGCAAGAGAGATGATTGGACGTGAAAATATATCAAAAAGACTTTTGGTGATGCTGATGCGCTCTTCTTTTGGCTATATCAGCACTTCAATGCTGTCTTGTCATGAATCACGCGGAGAAAATTAGAGATGGCTGTTATGAACAGCCGTGCGGTTGCAATAGAATGCATGCATCACTGTCCCGAAGCAAGTTATCACTATTCTACCTACTAGTTTCCTACTTCTATTTGCGATAAAGCTAGTGGTGCAATTGAACGGAAACTTTTCGAAGCCCACTTGCAGGATGACGATCACTCAAAAAATTAACTCTCGAAGCAGAATCAAGCAGCACTTACCATTAGTTCAAAGTCGCCTGTGTGACATGAGCGCACAAAAGCATAGCATTGAAAATGAACAACAGATGAGTGGTCATCTACGACTAACGACCATGTATCACCTTTACAACCGCAATCGCTACAGAAGAGGAGGGATCGTGGGGTGTCGTGGAACTTAGAAGGCTAGGTTGTTTAGCTCGACCGGTTCTTCAAAGACGATCCCCCTAGCCACGAATTTTTCGAAATCATACTCGAATGCCGAAATCAGAGGACAGAAGCGGATGACCCTCAGAATATTTCGTTCACTTAATAAGTATAAGATTCGAAAGGAAGGAGAATTGATATTAGACAGAATGCGACTGAAGCCAGTGAAAACGTTTTGCAAATAGAATACACCTTCAGTTCTTCTCTGCGCAAGATCGTTTCATCAGTTTGGGCTGAATTATTTTGAGGATAGCGGAAATTTTCTCTACTTAGTTATCACGCACAATCTTATAACAGAATTTATTGAAACACTCACTGAGGACGTCTGGAAGCATTCAGTCTGTGTTTGAATATTTTCGCGAATGTCCGGACCCTCCTCGATGGTCTAAAAATAGGAACGTTAGCCGTTACCATGAGCATACAGTCAAAATAGCATTTTTCGAATTGTAAGAAAGAAAAAAATATGGGCAGTGCATGATGGGGTTCCTCTTCCTACGTACCCTGAGACGCGTCAATAGTGGATAGGAGTGGGTAGGGAGATCGCAGATTCTGCTTTTCTTCCAGACCGTGTTTATTAAATGCGAAGACACCGGTATGAATCCAACATCGTATACTCACAGACCGTAATGCGCTTCAAAAATTACAAGAAAGACGTACCTGGACTTCACCATTGCACTTAACCGGTTGGTTGGTTTGTGCACAGCCGTCCTGAAAGTCAACATTTGTAAATGCTACTGAGCTCGTTCCATGTGATATGACGAAGACCACTGCTAACTATGTACATATTTGAAAGCTACGTGATAGAGCCACTGAATGCAGCCGTACCCTCTTCAGAAAGTTCGTCATACGTACTACTTTTGGCTGGTTATAAGTACTGTTTTCATCATTATCAAATGAGAGCTGCCTAGCTCATGATTGTGACATACCATAACCTTTAGCAAGACTTCTCGTCACCGAGAAGGAGAATGATTGGATTTAGGTTGCTCGATAAATAGATTGTTTCTACAAAAGTGATCATTCTAGCCACAAAGTTTTCGAAATAGTACTTGAATGCCGAAATCAGAGGACAGAAGAGGGTTCCCTTTTTAACAGTTTGTTGGCTTAAAGGCACAGCTTACGATAAAAGCAGTTTCTGAAATTTCTCTATAGTATTGATTTGAGGCTCCCCCCTATACCACACCTGCCGTTATAAGGTCAAAAAACGTCCTGAATAGAGCACAATAAGGGGCCAGAGATTGTATCGTGTGAATGCCAAACTCATAATGGACTAGTTTCGAAGGCTTTGAAGACGCTGCACCACCACAAGAGACTTCCATGTAGAAAGTTCAAACAACTTGTCATAATCCATGGCGACAGTGAAAGGCAGTTTTGGGCAATTTCGGCTTGATGTAGTCATCTCTTTGAGCAATGGGAGCAAGGTAAATAACGTCCAAATACCCCTTACATGCCTTTCCCGTCGCGGCGATCTCGTACAACCTACACTTCCACTACTCCTAAATAGCCTTGAAGAAGCCTGATTTTCTCGCTTTCTTAGCTATCGATGCACTCCTCCACATCAACACTTCCGCTTTCGAACCCAAAAAGGGTTCTTCAAAATTATCGTGAACTGTGCCTTTAATGAGTATACGATTCAAAANAGACGCTGCACCACCACAAGAGACTTCCATGTAGAAAGTTCAAACAACTTGTCATAATCCATGGCGACAGTGAAAGGCAGTTTCGGGCAATTTCAGCTTGATGTAGTCATCTCTTTGAGCAATGGGAGCAAGGTAAATAACGTCCAAACACCCCTTACATGCCTTTCCCGTCGCGGCGATCTCGTACAACCTACACTTCCACTACTTCTAAATAGCCTTGAAGAAGCCGGATTTTCTCGCTTTCTTAGCTATCGATGTACTCCTCCACATCAACACTTCCGCTTTCGAACCCAAAAAGGGTTCTTCAAAATTATCGTGAACTGTGCCTTTAATGAGTATACGATTCAAAAGGAAGGAAACTTGATGCCAGGCAGAAAGCGACTGTAGCCAGACAAAACGCTTTGCGAATAGAATGTACCTTCATTTCATCTCTGTGCGTGTTCGTTTTGTCAGCTTGGGCAGAGTTATTCTAAGAATAGCGGAACTTTTCTCTACTTAGCTATCACGCATAATCTTTCAACGCAATTCATAGGAACTCTCACCGAGGTCGTCTGGAAGCACTCAGTCTGTGTTTGAGCATTTCCGTGAATGTCCGGTCCCACCTTGATGGTCTAAAAGAATGAAAATTAGCGTTGCAGTTACTATGAGTGATCATTAAAGATAATATTGTTCGAATGATACGAAAGAAAGAACTGGGGTCAGAGCACGATGAGATTCCTTCACTCCCATTAGACGCCTCCATAGTGAATAGGAGAGGGAGGGATAGGCATGAATCCAACATCGTATGCTCACGGACGGTAATGTGGAAAAAAAATGACAAAGAGCACATACCTGCACTTCACTATTGCACATAAGCGGTTGGTTGGTTTGGGCACAGCCGTCCTGAAAGTCAACATTTGTAAATGCTACTGAGCTCGTTCCATATGATATGACGGAGACCACTGGTAACTATGCACATATTTGAAAGCTACGTGATAGGAGTGCTGAATGCAAGATATACTGTCTTCAGAAACTTTGTCATACGTACTTCTTTTGGCTGATTATAAGTACTAATCTCTGGAATTACAAGTGATATTCTCCTCTTACAATTATAATCGAGGATTATGACGGCACTTAATTTCATATTGAATGATAAACCGGCAGGATTTCGCCCTGCAAAGGGGCGAATCTAAGAGATTTCCGCTTGTGATAAAGCCCACATGAGGTTATCGGACTTTCGAAACAGTCGCTGGCTCTCGTGTTTGGTCCATAATTCATATTGCTATTCATGATATTGGATAATGATAAAAAACAGCAAAAGTCGAGTGTCAAAAGAGTAGAAATGGTTTCAGAAGGGAGTGTGGGCAACTTGGATGAGTCTTGGCTAGATATGTGTATCGAAGTTTCCGCATTCTTGTTAAACCTCAGCCAGGATAATATGACTTTGTTTGGCTAACGTACCGACGTTGCCGCCTTTGTCAGAGCCTTGAAGTCAAAAAATTCATCATTACCATATGAGACCTGCTTAGCTAGAGCCTGACCTATGGATATCCAGAGAGTTCTCCGAAATTACACTTAAAAACTCACACTGAATATAGAGAAGTCCTGTAAACCATCTTCCAAACTGCCCACTTGAAAGCAACCATGAACAACTCTTACTTTATTTTGGGTCTATCAAACATTTTCGCAGTGGGTGTGCTCTGGATAACGTGACCCTCGCCTTGAAGTCGGTGGCAGTTGTAGGTCGAGGAATTGGGTGAGTTCGCTTGTTATGACTTAACAATCGCTTTTCCGATTTACTTTGGGGTTTTTAGCATCAATCCTCAATGCTTCTAGTGTTTTCGCCAAAGTCCGTGGCCCGTTCCAAAATTCTGACCTCGAACACTACATTTTCGCGGCACTGCCTACTATGTATGGTCTCCCAGGAGCGTTCCAGACCCTAATTTTTCTAGGAAAACCAGGTGTTTCTGTACACTTTTTTAAAACCAAACACCTACCGAGAAGTGCAATCCGCATCCAGCTTGTGTGTCAACAGTGCACATGCTCTGGGAGCACTCGTCCACAATCAGAGAGCACTGTAAGTGAAGTGGAGTTAATTGGTCATCATACTAAAACAATCCGAAGTTACACTTTTTGCACAACATATGGTGTGCTTCATTAGCTAATAAAGGTAAGTGAATTAAGACAAAATCAGGCAATAGGGGGGCATGAAACTATGACGTCTATAATATGGGAGTCTACAATAAGGGAAGCATACTGACCGAATACTGACCCTCACATCATCACGCTTTTCACACGAATGAATTCACTTAGCTTCCATGTGGTAAGTGTTCTAGCGTCTAGGAAGTGATCCACTATCCAAAAGTCACTATGAACTTGCTCTGATACACATTGAGGGATACAGACAAAGTCTTGAAGCACGAAGCAATCCCGTCTGAGGGATGCGGCCACACACTCGACTTCCATTCAAATCGTAGTGGCGTATCGACTGCGTACGTGGTCTATACAATGAACAGCGGTGACCTGCTGTTGAACAAGTCTCTGTTTTTTTTCTCCCAGACGTGTTTGCTACCGACTAACCGACCCCGGAGAGATAGAAGGCTTGGTTGACCTCGGCGGATATCGGTCCGGGAGTCGAATCCGTGACAATGTGAAGCGTGTGTGAAGTGGCCACTTGATACTATACATTTTACAGAGGTAATCATTAAGTTTAGAGAATCGAGTCCGTGGGTACTTAGTCCGCTCAGAGGCACAGCTCATTTTAAAGAAGGCTTGTGAGATACCTTCCTAGGATGAAGCTATGACCCCCAAGGATACGCTAAGGGATGTTGTCGGGTCGAAAAGCACTCAAGATAGAGCGTAATAAAGGTACCAAAAACTGATTCGGACGACGTACACACCCAAGGTGGACGAGTTGTTGAGCGTTGTAAAAGCTGTGGAGATTGCACGTTCGTACCGGGACCCACACCTTGCTCTTACAAGGAAGGTCTTTCAGGGGGTGGGACGCTTTTTGAAAATGGTTTTCTGCATGGTATAGGGGCATGAGCACTGAGTATAGAACTGTGGTCCATTTCCGCTAAGTGGCCTTCTAACTGCCAAAAAAAGGTTGAAAATGATTTTGCCAGAAATTGCCGTTTTAACCCACTAAGCGCCGTTTGTTCCATTCATGGCGTCGGCGTAGAAGGCGCCAGTGGACTCTGCACTGAAAATAACGTGAACTGTAGTCAAAAAAGGGAGACTCATGTTGAAAAGTGCGAGGAAGTTTCATATATTCTCTCCACGGTTGAGCTGCTGTCAGTGACGGATGGTGTGGTGGATAGCGATGTGGACTTCGAATTGGGACGACTGGACTGTGTTGGTGGTCCGGATTCCCGGGGCTTTTCCGTTTTTGCATTTTATGCTGCCACCTCCAGATTGGCTCCATACTGTACCAGAGCCAAAGCAATGAGCCAGAGAGGTGAAGGGGGACGACTAGGCTGGCCTGGCCGGCCACCTAGTCGTATTCCATCCCCAGGCATACTTGGTACCAGCGCCACTGCACCGCGGAATGCATTCCTCCGCACCTCGTTCGCTCCTACGACTGATACCAAAATGCTCTGTGAAGCCAAATCAGTGGCCAGTATGTCTGCACATTGACCTTCAGCGTTATACACTACACCGAAACCTGTGTGGAGCCGAATATCATCAAACCAAATATCCGAACATCAGTGGAGCATAAATGGCTACTGTGTTAGGATTTCGCAGAGCAACTACTCCATCGTTTTGTTTCTCCTCTACTGATGCTTTTTTCGTGGGAGACAATGCGAGATCTCTTAATCAAATCGGGATCGTTTTTGTTATCGATTCTTCTGATGAAAGCGTCGAAGACACACGTTACAGCGTTTGACTGCTCATTGGTTCTGGTCCCGCCGATAATCCCGAGTTGTCTTGAAAGCGAACAACGTCCGCAAATAGTATTCGGTTCCACACAGGTTTCGGTGTAGGAGGTCGTATTGGCCCGGCGTTCACGTTTTTAGTCGGTGCCATCTCTCGAGATGAAGCGTCTCAACGAGGTTTTCTCGGTCGTGCCAGAGGAGGCGGTCATGGCCCATAGAAGACAGCACCTTTTTCGTCTTTCGGTGCACCTGACGCGGCACAGCTACGCTTCACCAAACCGGCTCTGTTAGGGCAGAGCTACACAGTCAGTACATAGTTGGCAATTTTCTTCGGTATGGCGTCCATGGACAGGTTCCTGTGGGTTTGGCTGCAGATGTGGATTCATCGAATACGGCCAGGTGGCCGGCCAGGTCTGACTCATTGCTTTGGCTCTGGTGCAATATGGAGCCGATCTGGAGGTGGCAGCATAAAATGCAAAAATGACAAGACCCGGGGGATCCGAACCATCACTCCAGCCTAGCCGTTTCCATTTGAAGTCCTCATCGCTATCCACCGCACCATCCGTCGCTGCCAGCAGCTCAACGGGAGAGCACATGTGAAACTTCTCCGCACTTTTCAACATGTGGCTCCCTTTTTTGGATGCTGTTCACGTTATTTTCAATGTCGCCTCCAATGGCGCCTTCTACTGAGCGGCCAGTCGACGCCATGAATGAAACAAACGACGCTTAGCTGGTTAAAACGACAATTTCTGGCAAAATCATTTTCAACCTTTTTTTGGCAGTTAGAAGGCCATTTAGCGGAAATGGACCACAGTTCTATACTCAGTGCTCATGCTCCTATACCATGCAAAAAACCATTTTCAAAAAGCGTCCCACGCCCTGAAAGACCTTCCTTGTTAGGAAGCGCATTGCAGCCAGTTGTATGTACCAAATACCTCTTCTTTCCAAATTCTGTTATCACACACTCGTCTGACCCCTGATTTTGGCTGCTCGTTGCAACCACTACTACGCCTTCATTATTTTTTTATTTGTCAGTCGAATTTCATCAAATAAAACGTCAAGCATTTTTTTTAAAAAAAAGGCGTACTTGCACGTCTTTGTTGTTCGTTCCGGAATCAGTCTGGGTGCACTCCTCGACAAGGAAACTTTCAACAATATTTTCGTCACTGTCCGACAGGAAAACGTCGTCTTCATCTTCGTGCCCGTTAATGTCGACAATGTCGATTACCTCATTACCATGCTCATCCACCGGTTTGTTCACGAAAGACACATCGACACTCACCTAAATAGACATCTTTTTATATTCAAGCCACCACAATGTTGAATCACTCAACAGAATTGCTGTATGAAGATTATAGTTGACTTATACCGTACTAGGTAATTTGAACCAAGACCGACTAAAAATTTGAATTGTCTCGTATACTTGTTTGTGTGATATCCTTAAAATAAGACTGAACCTCTGCCACGACATCGTTCGAGTCTTCGCTATGAAGTTGTCCTGATGAGGTTGGCCGTCCAGAAAGACGGTGATCACCTAAAGAATAATGAAGAAGCAATCAACACACATGTATCATCAATGATGAAGACTCTAAGAATGAAGTGAGGACCACTCTCAATTTTCAGATGCTCTGTGAAAAAAAGACTAAAATGCTCTCAGAAAAGGAAGATGAGACTAGCTGATAATCGCGAGACCTAATTCAAGCTGTGTTCCGAAGCCCCTATCATCAGTAGGTCTGAGGGCATACGAGTTACCGATTTTTCGTCAGACACGCACACCCGCCCCTATGGACGAAATTCACCTACCACCTACATCAGCGGTGTTCCTACACTGCACCTGAACCCATCAAACTTGAACGCTCTAGGTCTAGGGGAACAGTAATTATCAATTTCTGGGCAAACACATACCCACCGACAAAGACATATAAATATACACACATACGCACATACACATACACGCATACCACACACACACCGGCACGCCCACTCCCTCACACATACGCGCCAATACATACACACAAAACTGACACACACACACACGATATACACACCGGCACACACACACTGACACGCCCACCGTCGCGCTTCCTCTTGGCACACATACCGACATGCTGCCCACCGTCATGCACACCGACACACATTCGCACATACATACACATACACATACACATACACACACACACATTAAGCGCTTCATTCGTAGAGGATTTTTCGCGAGCGAGGGTTGACGGTAATCATTATTGAGAGCGTTCAGAAACTTCACTGCCACCACGAGAATGTAATATAAAAGCAAAGCTTATTCATCGATATCAAAGAATGTGGTTAAATCCATCTGCAAGTGTGGCAATTGTGAACGAGACTAGAAAACATATTTCGGCACTGATGAGAACGCATTTTGAAGTTCCTAATGATAGTGGGTGGTTTGTTTACGGCAGCGTAGTTGTTAGACAAGATTCAAACGAACCCGGAGTAGCTGCAGGTCTTCCGTCAGAGGTAGATGATAGCTGTGAGGAACGTATTGAGAGCTGTTGAGAGCGCAACGTAGGATGTCGTGCTCGACGTTTTACTTCGTTGATTGCCATAATCTCTCGGGTAGTTATGCTTAAAAAGTTGATTTGAAGGAGCAGCAAAAATTTCGAGCACTATTGAGCAAGGGGGCCTTAAATATTATACCTTGAAAGCTTTGTTTGGCAATGCCGATCCATTTGTCTCACTTCGTTTGATTGAACTCCTACCTAAACCACCGATGTATTAGGCAGTTCGTCCCGATTTTATTTTTACTACCATGTGATGATATTTACATCAAACGGTACGAGCTATGAACTGTAAATGAACGCACTATGTACAAGGTTCGTCATCAGTTGCCTCATTTCATAAGTTATGCGCTATCAAATAGCATTTCATGATACGCATGACCGAGGCTCATTTTTTTGTTTCTCCTAGGACTACCGTTCTATCTACAGGGCTTGAAGGGAGGTTTCGTGAGTTATCCAAAGCATAAAGGGGTAGGAGAGATCCCAGTTCTAAAGGCGACCTGAGAAGGCAGGTGTAGGTTGGAGGGATGGGTATCGAAAAGGCAATTAAGCGCCCAGGTGTAAGAGCGCATAAATACCACACCTACGCACATCAAATGCTTTATGAGAGGATAACCCGTTGGCGGCTTAGTTGGTGCAATTTTGTGTAATGGTACTCAAGGTACGATCGTCTGCATATTGGGAAACTCACTGTATTTTAGAATGTAAGACAACTGTTTATGTTTATCAAAGTGTTCGTTCCGTAGACAAAGCCTGCTTGGCTAATGAATACTTACGAATAGTCAGAATAATTTACTTATTACGATCGAGGCCGATTGCTCTTGGGAAAAACATTACTCTTAAACCTGTTTCTGGTGCATTCACCTCAAATAGGTATGTGATTGTCGGCCACAAGTTACCGTCTTTTACTTTGAGCCATGCACATGTTTTGTAGCAATAAATTCAGTGGTAACATATAATACGAGGATTCTTCACTAAACGTCAATGTTAGTGAAACTCGTTCCAGCAATTGAGACTAGTTCGAACAACATATCTTAGCTCTTTGATTCCTATGACCTTGTTGTGCAGACATGGCAACAAGCTTGAGCAACTTTTCCGTGTGTAAGATAGTAAAGGCCTCACAAGTTGTATTAAAACCATTCTAACCGCTTGAGTACCTTTATCATATGTAGTAGTGCGTGAACGCCTTTCGTCTGCATTGGGATTGATACCAATGCATTGTTTGAAAGCTTTACAGGAAATACCCCTTCCTCCTTTGAAGTAACAATCGGGGTGGATCATTAACAAATGAATAGGATCGGTGACTAGGATGGTGTCCCAACCAAAAACGGATTGAGAAGGTGGCACCAATCTAAGTTAGAACGTAACGTTTCCCGGTGTTGTATTGTATGGAATGTCGCTGGGAATGTTTACTTACAATGCGGTTATCAGCTGTCACGTATAACGTAACCTACTGAAGGCACAATTTAGATAAAAATGGCTTATGAGATATCCCGCTAGGGAAATCTGTGGCCCCTTGAACTTCATATGTAGAGCTGTCAGATCGGAACACGGTCTAAAGAGAGCATTATAAAGGTTCAAAGATCGCCACCAGTGTATGCGCAGACGAGTTTCAACGACATTATGGAGGCTGCACCAATCACAAAGAAACTCATATGGGACCCCTTCTCATTACCCTAGTACAGTGAAAGGCAAATCTGGATAGCATTGGCCTGATGTAATCAGCTCTTTGCGCACATGCAACGACTGAAATCTTGTCTAAATACCCTTTCCACGTCTTTTCCGTTCCAGCAATTTCGAACAACCTCGCCCTACTTTGAGAAGAATTTTTCACAAAAATGGCGAATTTGCCCGCTTCTTTCGCCACCGACGCACTCGCATTATTACCAACAATACTTCCGCTTTGCGGTTCGAAAAGGGCACCTCAAAATCATCGGAGCTGGGCCTTTAACTAAATTTTTCCTGAAAACGTGTGTATGCNCTTTTTCTCTCTACACTTTTTAGCTATGAAACTACAGGAGCGCAGTTAAAGCACGCAGAAAATGTTTTGACTCGGAATTTCTAATGCTATAAGTGAATGAGGGCATGTTGAGGGGGAGATAACTCAGACAGAGTGGTTCACCGTTTTACAGACTGCCTACGATCTTTTGGTCTGTCCTCATATGAGCTCCAATAATCACTGAATGGGAAATATCCTTTCATCTAAAATTCCATCAACAGCGCCCATACGAGGGTTTTGGCAGGGTTTGGAAAGTTCTATGTACATGAAAGAGGTCATGCATATCATGGAAAACATTATTGAGAAAACGGGAAATGAATCGCAGAATGAGCAGAATTGCTTCTCGTAGAAATTTTAGGGGAAATCAGGTATAGGATTTGTTATAGAAACTAATGAGAAGGGACATCACCCAAATAAGGCAGATAACTTCCCGCAGACAGAAATTCACTCATTCAATTCGGTGATACTAGTGATCACTGAATCAGCTCCGGTTCCTTGCACATGTTCGGTCCAGAAGTGAAGTGTTGTCGTGGTAAGTAAAGTGAACCCAATCAATTACTTACATAAAGTTTTATTATATTTTAGAAAGATCCAAATGACGATAAGCCCTACCTCATTTAACTGGAGAGTTTCTTGATTGGTATCTCCTTGATCTGTCTAAATGTACAAAGATACTGACTATAAACAAGAACCTGCAGCTATAAGGAAAATTGTTGCCTGCTCGCCAACGCTTCGCATAAACCGCAAATCCATCGGACTGCTCTCAAGTGCGGACGCTGACTCCTTGTCATTGATTTCAGAAGATCCAGAACAATTGGATTTGCTTAGTAGAACTTCGACATCCTTCTCGTCGAGCACGGTAATTTGTGAAACATCTGGTTGCACTGCGGTAGATTTCATTCTGAAAAATCTCACCTTAAGATAGAAAGTGCGCTAAGAGTTTAGTCCAACAATCAGTAAGCTGAACCTATTGCGGTTCACAGCGAAGAAGCATGTAATGCTGATTCGTTCTCCATTTCGTAAATGCTTTCAGAAGAAAAGATAAATCGCAGCAAGTTTTTTTTAAACAGTAGATAAAACAGGATACTAGCCCTCTTACTGACGGTGTGATAGCTGACGAAGTGGAGCTAGATGCATATTACGAACACCTTTGGGAAATCATACACAACGGAAGTTCTTCTACAAGTTCGTTGTTGGACATTTCAACGCTAGGTTTGGCGAAGCACAAGAAGAGAAGTTAAGGATCGGAAACATTTGGATGGCGGCTCGACTCTTCCATGACAACCCCTTCTATCCGAAAGAAGGAACATGGCCGCTGGACATGGGAGTCTCTTAACGGTACAACCCATATGCTGCTGATGATGTATGCTGAACCGACCCACATACTGTCGAACAGAAGGTGGTGCCTGGCAGCGTTGAACAGAACTAGACTGGAGAAATGCCATCGGGATTTTCAAGACCACAGAATTCCGTTTTCGTGTTAGAAGAAGGAGGACGGAACACTTACAACATCGTGATTAGAGATGGAGGAACCTACATAGAGGTTTTCCTCTAACCTGTACCGATCCAAAGCACAGTTGCGAAAACCAAAAATCTCCGCTAACGAAACAGCACCTCGGATCCTTTCTTCGGATTTGAGAGCAGCGATTGCAAGCATGAAAAGAAGCACTACTCCAGGCCTCGACAAGATCTACTCCGTGCAGGTGGTACGGTTTCCATGTGCTTCCCGCAACACAAAGGACATCATCGATCCAGAAGGAGAAGATCCCCAGCCGAAGGAGAAACTCGCGGACGGTCGTTTTTCACAAGAAGGGGGACCGGGATGATCTTCGTAACTACCGCCCAGTAAGCTTGTTGAGGGTACTTTACTATGCTTAATTGCTTTTGCACTTTAAATCGCCGAGATTATTCTATCTATATTCTATTTCGCATATTGCAAGCGTTGGATGAAGTTCAACCTGTAGAACAGACCGGATTCCGAAAGGAATTCAGATGTCTAGGCACATCCACGCCCTCGCAATGGTCATCGAAGTGTGCCGAGAATTACGGATGCCTCTTGTTCTTATCTCTGTAAACTGTGAAAGAACTTCTGACAGCGTTGAAACGAATGTGTTACTGTGGACTCCCCCTACACAAGAACACTGCAGTAGCCGGTGCAGCGCGACGGTGAAGCTGTTCCATCGACCTCTGGAGGTCGCTAGACTGGGGCGAAAAGGGCATTCGTGTGTGTGGGCGGTTCCTCTCGAACTTCCGGTTTGCGGACGAATCCTTCCCCGTTCAAGAGGGCGGCGTTGTGGAAGCTGAGACTATGCTTGCTGAGCTTAATAAAGCAGGAAAGAAGGTAGGGCTACTGATCAACCAAACAAAAACCTTGTTATGATAAACGCTTGGGCTGGAGAAGGTCAAGTTGAGACCGATGGCACATCTACCAAAACCTCGTCTTACGTTCAACTCGAGCGTTCCATGAATGTGGACAACGACATGATGGAAGATCTGTTGAAACGACAAAAAGCAGCCTTCGGACCTTCGATAAAGGTCACCAACTACTTGGCTGATCCGGAACTTCGCGCTAATCTGTTCGATTACACAATTGTTCTTGCGCTCTGTTGAGGCTCGGAGACTTGGATGACCAGTGCATCCAAGCCAAGGGTTTGAGCATAAGTCACAGAGCATACGAGCGATATCTTTCGAATTTTAGACTGCTCTTTGAATATCGAGCCCTACTCCGCAGCTCCGATATGCGCAGAATGAATCGCCTTCCGCGATCTGGTGGAGTACATGAAAAACGCCTAACTTTGGTGGGCCGGTCACATCATGAGAAGAGATGATGACAAGGTGAACAGTCGAAAAGGCTTCCGTAGGATCTCTACGATTCGAGGGTAGGCCTACTGAGAGAAAGGGGATGTGCTCCTCGTGAAACAGCTGCAGCTAAGCGATTCTTCACATCGTCATGTTCGTTGGATACCGAATCTACCGTGTATGGCGATGGCGAAAGACAGATGTGAACGGTTTGTTACTGGTGCTCGTACATGAATGAAGACTGGCCGTATAAGTAAGTATAGCCCCCTTTTGTGGGATTTTTCAATCCGGATTTTGATTATATTTTCTCGTTTTCTCCTGACGTTATTTTTCTTGGGACAGCACTCAGGACTGCAGAGTCACTCTTGTTGGTGCCTTTCCAAGTGAACAAGAAGAGGCTCTGACTTTGATCACTCCTCGCTCAGCAGCTACGTACGCTGAAAGTATTATCCTACTATATGTAACGCGTAATCCATTTCTCTGTGTGTTTATTTGATGCAACCAGAAATTCATAGCTCCTGTTCTATTGGACCTACAACGTTCAATTCGGTAGGAGTGCAAGCGGAATGATGTTTTCAGTGGCAATTGGCGGTAGGACTGGATCTCTGTTTCCAGGAGACGAGGCGAGAGCGAAAATTGCTAATTTAGACTTGGAGCATTCGAATTCGGTAGTACTTCAGTCTGGAAGATCGGGACTTTGACCACAGGTGGTAGGACTAACTTTGCCTACAGGGGTGTGTCTGCGCGAAAAGTTGTATGTGGAGTGAAATTCATAGTTCAAAATTCTCAAGACCTTAAGTAATCAATTTGATAGGAGTTCAGGCGGGAAGTTGGGAATATCGATGGTAAATAGTAGAGCAAGACTGCGCCACAGGGGATGGAGCGAAAGTAAAAACTGCTAATTTGAGCCAGGGCGTTTGAATTTGGTAGGAGCAGGCGACGGCACTGTTCCTCCCTATCAACAGTGGGAACACTCGGAGGGAACCGTCACAACACACAGGCCTTGAGCAAGACTTCGTTCATGGTGGGCTCGGCGCCTCCACAACTACTGTCTTTTGAAATCCACAATAATTATACATCAGCCCATCAAAATAAGGTGGGTCTTAGAATACAGCAATGTATGAGGCATTTTTCCTCAAAAAAGCTCATCAGGGGAGAGTTCGGTCCGCTCTTACTTCTGTACGTACGTCGTTCAGAAAATTATTTTCTTTTTTACCGGGATGGCAACACTATTTTGTAGTTGCTCTAGAGCTCCTTCTATGGAAATTGTCCTCGTTTCCAAGTCAACGTTTTGGTGAAATACTAACTATGCAAATCAAAAACGTACTCTAGTTTGAAGACATCGCACTGTGTAGATGCATCATCGCTGCAAGAAGGAGCCTGAAAGCAAAAGAACTTAGCTAAAATCAAAATAATTGAAGAGATGGAATTTAGATTTATCACAGATTAGGAGATTTTATCACAAAAAACATAGTTAAAAAGATGATAAGAATTGAACTCACATGTTGGACTGCTGCTTCAAAGTGTTTTGGCAATGTCGTTTGAACTTCCACAATACACGTAGCCGGTGTCACTTGCGCAGCAAATGAATTTTTCTCTTGCAGTGGCGTTAGAGTCTGAAGGGCATAAGAATGAACAAAAAAATAAGCTTCTAATTTTGAAAGAGTTGCTGAAAAAGTAGGTAAAAGGAAGGCTCACTTAGTTGGCATACTGAAAGTAGCTAACCCGATGCATACGCTTTGCTCATATATTCATGGCCGAGAAATAAGAGAGAATAGCCGTCAAAGGCACAGTTAACAATAAAAATGGTTTCAAGATTTTCCCTAAAAAGATTACTCAGTAGCCTCCGAGGGTAACAGAAAGTATGCTGTCGGCCATTATGGGAGCCCCATTACCGGATCTGTCGGAGGCCGCGATCATCGACCGATGTCATGTCAGGAGAGTGTAGGGGCGATACAGGTTGCAATACTCGCACCAGAACCGACTCGTTCGCATACAACGAGCTCATCGCCCACTAGCGAGGGCNATGTTTTAGTCCAATTCTGTCATTAATTGCTGTTCTTTTTGCTGCTGCAGTCATTCTACAGTTTTTCTGCATGCTCACCTGCCTCAGAATATCAACAGTGCAGAAGAATAATAGAAGAAGATGAAATTCGCTTCTTCAGCGGCACAGTTTCCTTAATCTAGACGAAACGATAACATTGTAGAAGCACTGCCAGGAAGCCGACAAAATACACCGGAAGTGCACCGTTCGTGCACGACTTTGATTAAAGGAAAGGAACCAGCGCTGCAATACGACAGCGCTCTGGTATATACTGCATAAAGGGCCTTCCAGAAAAGGAACGAGTTTCAGCAGTGGTACTCTGCCTCATCAAAGATACTCGCTGGAATTCTCGTTAGTCGACTACCCTTTTCCCAGCATCTCGATCTCGCTCTTAGAGACGGTTGCTTCAGAAACTGAGATGCCAGACCGGCCTTCGGCAAACTAGTCGCACTGAACTTTAAAATCTTACAGTGGGCTCTCTTGCTTCTTGTTGGCCAACGTCATTGATTTCATCGGTTTCTATATCGATTGAGTTTTCGAAATTGAGATAATCTTCTTCGATATTTAAGATCAGAGACCACAACATGTTTCCTGACAACATATAATTTCTTTATGCCTCGAACCGCTTCGCCTTTCTCACTCTTCCCGGGGTTTCACAAGCTAGAAAAGAAAGGTTACTTGGACATAGAGCTAGCTTGTCATCTCGCGTAGTGGGAATGAAAAAAATGTTAATTAGCGTTGCTCCTAATGAGAAAGCTCCAAGGCGGTATTTCTCTCCGAACTCTCACGGAAAGGGCAGGCTGTCGATAACCGTGCTCTTCCACTGAAAATTCAAACCATCCCCTTCTTAAAACATGACAGCGCGCGATCAGGTGCGCCGAGGGACTAGCACATCCGGGATGCAGAAGCACGTTGTCCTTAAAGATTGCGCACCCAGGGCGAGCAAACTATACGTCAGAGCACAATGCCCATGCAAGCAGCTGTATTATTCATCATTTTTTTATGAGCAAAAATATTCTCAGGATGGTAGATTCGGTAAAGGGGCAGGCGTCGAGATTCGGTTGATTGGCCCTCTCGACTATAAGGGTAAATCCAATAACTTGTACATTGGTTGACCACCGCAAGCCATGATTCAGTCCATATAGTCATAAAATGCCACTACGGTCCTGAGCATCCCAAAGGGCGATCGATTAATGCCGAAATGTTCATCCTTCATGCAGCACTAAATTTCTTATGCTCTTGTCATATGAAAGACGCAGCGGAGCCAGTAATGAAGATTGCCCGATCTCGCCCCGAGCGGAGGTTTAGGCCTGTAAAGCAGGAAGGCAAAGTCTATACAAATACTCCTTCTCGATGAAGGCGGTTAATTTACGCAGTTAGTTTGGTTCCTCGGTGCCAAGGAAGTTTTTCGGTTTGACGTTGTACCCGGAAGTCTCACAACATCAGCTACTTTTTATCAGAGATCACCCCACTTTCATTGCTCACTAGATGTGGAATATATATATGATTTTGATGTTTTAGGACAGAGAAGGCAGGCTCCAATTTCGAGAGGAAACCTCATTTCGGCGGAATGAGAATGAGGGCAAGCGGAAGTCACCGTCTTCACAAAGTTTTAAGGTGGTTTTACTCGTATTTATCCACGCCTCGTTTGAATAACCCACCTAATTTCAAAGGTCAGGTCACCAAAATATTGTATCTTTTGATTTTTTCCTCGTAGTGGTCTGCGCTCTTCACGCAATGACGTAAACCGTTTCCTGCATGTGCGGCATAACATTTTAGCGATTTTTCGCTAACTGTTCCTAACTTCCCGTAAGCAAGGCGCTCGCCACTTGCGCATGGAACTGTCTTAGGTGAGCTCCCTGTCGTGGACTTCTAGTACTTGAAACCGAGCCGTTCGCGGCAGATCGAGGCACGTCCTCTAAGATTCGACCACTTATTCAGTTTTAAGGTATGCCTAGCTTACCTGCTCTCACGTTGGGATACGCTCCACGTTCTTTAACATTTGGCGGTGCACGTTCCTCGACCATTAAAGTGTTCCGCGATCAGCCCTTGCCCCTTCTTGTCAGCAGTTCTCGAGCGAAAACCCTTTTGAGAAGCCTCACCTGCCTTTTTCCAACCTCTGCTTGTCTCTGACTGTTTTTTTGTAGCATATTAATTATATTATACTCTATAGTCTTTCCCTACTCTCTAAGGACATTACTGTTAGGTATCGCTTCCTGTATCATACTATATTATATTCTTTCGTAGCCTGACTGCCTTCAGAATTCCCATATCGTTATTTTTTACAGTTTTAAGACTTTCTTACGAACTCATGCTCGATTTTTATTTGATCACATTATCCCTCCTATTTTGTTACTAGGAATGTGCAGCTTGGGAACAAGGACACGCTTTCCCAACTTGTTTCAAATTAATTCTCCTCCTTGCTGAACTAATATGAGGTTGATGCATAGGTTTTTCCCCGTGCATGATATTTCCATACTTCGTTTGCATGGATGTTCGTATTTCGTCACCACGTATGCGTGACCTGCGCATGATACTCTTTCACCATTCAACCACCCTGAATATGCGTGCAATCGACAATGCCCCACAATTACCACTGTGACAGAATGTACCTGCGCCACGGCCTGTTTTTGCTTCACGATTTCGGCTGGAATGCAAAGCAAAACCATAACAAGCTAGTGGAAACATATGGCGAGGACGTCATCTCTTATCGCACATGCAAGTCTTGGTTCACCATATTCAAGAAGATTTTCCTCTCGAAGATGCTCCGAGGTCGGGTCGGCCGATGAAGTTGGATTTGGAAGGACTACGTTTCACCGTGGAGGAGGACCCGTATCTAGCCACCAGGGAAATGGCGACCATGCTCGGCAATAATCGATCGAGCCTCGAATCAATCAATTATAGTATGTGGACTGGATCAGCTCGGTAAAGTAGCAATGCTTGGTTGTTGGGTTCCGTCCGTTTATGACCTCTCGAGCAGTGTGGCCACCTGCACTTCTCTCCTCACTTTTTAAAGGAAGCTCCACTTTCTCAACTCGATGTTCACTGGATATGAGTGGGTCCTCCAATACAACCCTGTGAGGAAGCGGCAGTGGGTCGACAAAAGAGAAGAGTCAGAAGCCATCCCAAAGGTCGAATTTCACTCCAAGAAGGTTCACCTGTCCTGTTGGTGGCCTAGAAGAGGCATGGAACACTGAGAGCCGCTGGAGAAGGACAGAGACTAACGCTTCCACACACGTTACCCAACTGCAGAAGTTGGAAAATCACGCCGACCATACTTGTGAAATGTGGAAATTTACTTCCACCATGACAACGTACACCCCAAGGGCGACCCAGGCCGAGCTCGCCCAGCCCCCAACAGCCCTGACCTCGCTCCTTCCGACTAGTGGCTGTTCAGCCATCTGCAGCTCCCTCTGGATGGAAAAAAGTTTGAAACAGAAGATGATGTCAGTAAGTCACTCGACGGCTTCTTCAAGTCCCAGCCCCCAACCTCTTAGGAGGAAGCAATCGACAAGCTGCCTGAGCGTTGGCGTCGAGTAGTGGATGGTGACGGTGCAGATCTCTAACCTTCAGGTTGGTTCGCTATTGAGATATTTACAAAATGTCGGGGAAAAAACTTTTGCATCAGCCCAATAACATATTTTTCTAGTTCCTTACTCGTTTGCCATCGTCCATATCAATCACAACGGTAAGGTAATTACGTAGTGAAAGATTATCGTCAAGGTTCGAATGGAAGTTATTCTTGAGATTCCAGTCAGTAGCTTGTACGGTACAGAGACATTACTGTTCGGTACCGCTTACTTGTTTTACGCTTGTAGCTGTCATTCAATCGCTAACTCTGTTCGTGTCAGGACACGTTCTTGAGCCACCTCTACCATCTTTCTCCATAGGTTCCAAATTTGGATAACCGTTTGATGTAGTGAGTTCATTACCCCCTTTCCCTTGCATATATCCAACACGCTTCTTCAGAGCAGGAGCTCGAATATTCTCCCGTGATTGAGATTAGCAACCTGCTCAAAGTCTCGGTCAGAACTTCACATTTAGGGCGATGATCCGGACCATTTTTTACCAATGACGTTCACTCTTCGACTGCTACTACTGGTTATAATTCTACTGTTGAACATGGTTGCAGTGATTGAAAATGCTATTTAAATGATTGAAGGTAACTTATATTATCCATTCTCCATCCCCAGCTATGCTATCGAACGTTCCATGTCTCCACAAAGAACACAAGTCCCAGTCCCATAGCGAACAAGTGTTTATTAGTGAAGGCATGAATTAGAGCTCCAAACCATCAGGATGTCCTGGCATGTAAAAGAAAGCGTTCACAGCTGATGAGTGTAATAAACAACGGCTGATAAGCGAGCAATTGGACCATTGCGCCTTTCTCTGTGTTGCTACCGTGCTGGAACCCATCAATGTTGTTGGTAATGTGACTCGATTTAAGGGGGACGGTAATGTGATGGAAACTTCGAGGAGCAATGTCAGATAGTAGACACTGATTGATCGGCAGAAACTCCCAAAAAAGTAGGTTCTGTCTCTCTAGAAGATAATGACAACAAGGATACGCTGAAATTATATGGTGTAATGCTGCATGGCGATAGCTGCCGGGGAAGCAGCTTGAGAATATAGGCTACTGAAAAAATGAACCTCACTAAACTGCATGATTGACCGTAAAGTTGACACATCGTTATAAGATTGATGCTGATTGAGTGGACTCATGTCAGCACTCAATTCAAATTGGTGAGAATAACTTCGATTGAACAGGAAAAGTTCAACTGAAGATTGCTAAAACTCAAGCCACAATCAGCGTAGGATTCCAAAACGGTAGGACATGTTGCTGATCAGTCTGAGTTCTCCTAATATATTAGGATATAGAGGCTGATCCAAGCTCTCATCTAAAACCCTTTACCAATTTATTTGGCGAAACGAAAAAAGCCAGCATTAGTGCACTGTTTTCGCGCACTTCTTTGAAGGCAATGAGAATGATTTGGTCGACCAAATGAAAACTTCTGTTCATCGATAAAGTACATAATTATCACCTGACAGCAGGAGTCCACTGACTGCGGCACTTTCTTAAGAATCAACGGTGACGAGTGCAAGGATCCCACTGGTAGTCTTGCCTATAAAATACGTATATTAGTCGTTATTTGTGTTGATGGTAGCTAACGCTGCCTAATGTATGCATAGAAAAAAGTGATTGGAATCGGAGATTGTTTTGTAGTGACCACTCCTCCCGGGTGCAAGGTGCAAACGCCAGTACACATAAGGCCTAATGGTCTATGTCGGCTCATGGCCTCGACGCACGTCAACTATTGCCCCAAGAGACGAAATTTTTACCACCCATGAGCACGTTTCGCGTCGCCGTAGGTGTATTTTACTTGAATTTATTGAATCAATCATCATCACATGAAGGGAGAGTGGGAAGTGTGGGTTAGGAAGCATCACTGTAGTCGCTTCGGCGAAACTATCTCAGCACACGCCTGACGATCTCGGCTATGATCGGAAGCTCCACCACTCAATTGTAGAAAAAAATTTAAGAGCCCAACTTAGCTAGGTCTCGGCGCTCGCGATTACTGAAGGTCCGCTTCCGGGCCCTTAAGCCTCGTAACTTACCTCACTTTTCTCTAGAAGCTGAGTATATCGCATCAGCTCCTTCTTCTCCTCGTCGGCTCTTCTTTCTACTGCCTGAGAGAATGGAAATCATCCGAGCAGCACTCATATGCAAAAGACATCATCAGGAATGTTTGCAAAACTCATTCTCACTCACGTTTTCAATGAACTCTTTGAAATCTTCTTTAGCAGCATTTGCAAATGCAGGCATTCCTGTATTCGGATCCAGATCCACCAAGACAGCCGGCGGTTCGATACCCTTTGAAGAAAAAATGTAGATTTCACGAGTGGCTCAGAATGGTGTGCACCTCCTACTTCACGCAACCTCAAAGACTTTCGAAGACAGTGAATTCCAGCGGTCATAGCTTTTAAAAGCCTAATAATCAATTTGAGCTCAAAGGTCAGGACTAGCTTGGTGACTCATGAAACCATTTAACCATGCATAGTATGCCCCTTCGCAATCACAATATGCTTCACGTCTATCCGCTCGGCAATGGTCATGGGAAAGGGCAGCAGAAAGAAAAAAANAAAAAAACGAGAAATGACCAATGTGAGCTCGCCCATTTTCGGCAACTCTTCAGTGTTTAGAAGTCTTCACATGCAAAGCCGGTTGTCCTTATCGACAGTACGAGTGAAGAGAAAGGGAAATTGGAAAGACCATTTTCGCCAAAAATAAATCCTAACTGAGCTTAGTTCATGTCCTACATCCATTTTTGATATGCACGTCGTCGCTATGAAATTGAAAGCCAATGTCGTAATCGCAACCTGAGGAATTGAAAAGAAATTTTGGGTAGTGGCCTACTCGTGGAGGAATGAGTCTTAGGTTGTGTTGTGTACTACCCACCCTTCTCATCAATCCTTAACAAGGTATGACACATCCCACTTCCCAAAAATTTTACACCACTTCAAAATATTTAAGAAGCCCACAAGTTCGACAAGTTTGGGTAAAATTTTGATCTAAGACGAGTTTTAAACTCGCCAAAGTGCTTCCCGAACACCGTGCCTTTTATCCCTTATACTACCAAGAGCTTGCCTTCGCTTTGCAAGGGCTTCTATGCCATAGCTTATCAGCACTTACCTTCAATGTGGAAGCTTGCGCCTGCAAGCACTATTCCTTCCCCTCGTGTCGCTGTTCTGAAAACCGGGATGCAAAAGCTAGGGAATTGAATACTTTCAATAGCGCAGGTTCATGCGTGCACTGCGTAAGCAGAAGACCACGAAATCGAGGGTTCACGAGGAAATAAAGAGAGCTTTGAAGCCCAAATCGGCATACAATTATATAATGCAATTTCAACGCAGTTGTCGGCTCCCAATCGGACGGTAAGGAATACAGTTCAAGAAGGCACGGTGCAGGAGTAAGGAACGACAACAGCAGTTAATAAAGCAAGTGACAAATAACGGCAGTTGAAAAGGAAATCAAGTCAACCCGTCAGACGCCGAAGTTCTGCCCATAACTCCGGAACTTATTAGACTTTCGCAATGCGTACTGTAACGAAATAAAGGCAATCAGCAACAGCTATTCAAGGAGTCTTTTCAACGGAAACGACCGGTAACATCTTCGCTTTTCGATATCTGTACTTCTTACAAAGCGGGATCGTTTTTTTTTCACGGATGAGCTTTTCATGTTGAAATTCTATTCCAAATATTGCGCAGTGCCTTGCTTTTGTTTATTTATTTATGTGTGCGTCGGTGAACGCGCTAGATCATGACGATATATAGCAAGGTGCCCTAGCAAGAGGTTTTTACAATGTCTTATAAACTTTACAATTTTAGCTACATCAAAATATAGCCCAATGAATTAGATTCTACCAGTGGCAGCACCTCCCTGGCGAGCAGTGCCGCACACGCCCTCACACGTTAAGATTTAGTAGCTAACATCTGCAAAAGCATGCATCAGTCAGCAATGAACCCACTCGTCACTATCTGCAGTAACTCCAACACACGAGCATACCAACCTCCCTTGAGCACAGCAAATTTAAAGGTCAACTAGTAGGGGACGCGAAGAAGAATAAGCAGGGTACCAGGCTTCGCTTTTATGTAATAGTGGCAAACAGTGATGAAGCTGAAATAACGCGAAGTGGCCTAATAGATTGGCGAAGCATACGAGGCGTATGAGAGGCGAGCTGCGTCCGTAGAGACCACAATACATTAAGAAACATCAGGAATACCAAGAATTTTTGAGATAACTATCTTTTAGATGAATTGAATAGCTTCGAGTTGCTCAATGCCAGTAGATGTGGTGGTAGAGATTCCAACCATTCACTTGCGCGAATAAAAAAGAAATTTGCCCCTATCTTATAATTCCAGTTGCTCATTTTGTGGTTGAATATGCGAAAAGCGCCTGCACGCCAATGCGCCGGTCGAATAGTCTAGTGGCTTGATACATAGTTCACACTTGAGAATATTAAAAGCTACAATCAAACAGAACATGTTACCTGCAGAAATTATTGGGTTGACCGAAAAGTCTCCGCCGATATTTGACACCCCGGATTTATCAACCGTTGTGCAAAAGATCAAGGACCCAACCTAATAAAGTTATATGTTTTTTGAAAGAGTAGGTCCTCTTCTATATTCTTGTTGGCATTCTGTCAACATTTGTCGAGGTTGTCTGTACAGGATTCTTATGAAAATGGAGAACCACTGCGCGCATTTTCGACATTTGGAGTATTTCTTCTACCGCAAGGCCTAGAATGCGGCTCAAGCCGCATGAAAGATATATGACGTTTGAGTAGACTATGCCCTAGAGGAACGTACAGTGCATGACTAGTCTGCGAAATCCAAACAGAGTGAATTTGCCTTCGAAGACCGGCAACCCTCAGGGAGACTATCATCAGCTTAAACGACCAACTCAAAATGTTAATCGAAGCGAATCAGCACATCACTGCTCGTGGAGTAGAACAAGGGCTTAGTGTTTTGAAATTAACCATCCATGGTCATCTGCAGAGATAATTTTCGTAAATCGCCTTGATGTTTGGATATCTCGCGAAATCAGCGAGCGCAATGCGATGGACCGCGCCTCCATGTGCGACTCATTGCTCAAACTAAATAAAAATGAGCCGTTTCTGAAACGCATGAGCACGAGAGACGAAAATTGGATTGTGTACAGCAATGAGGAGCGGAAACGATCGTAGAGCCCCAGTGAGTCGTCACAAACCGCTGCAAAAGTCAAAATCCAGGTGCGGAAGACTATGCTGAGCTGCTGATGGGATTGCAGGGAAATCACTTACCATGAGCTGTTGTCGCATAATCAAACGATGACTTCGGAAAGGTACTATAGTTAGCTAGAAAATATGGAGGCAGCGATAGGCCAAGAGCGACCCGAAGTGGCCAATTGTGAGGGCGTAAACTTCCAACAGGGTGNTAAGAATACCACTTGTTTGGATTCTGCAAAATTCTTTGAATGGAAAATCGTTCAATTCGCTGGAGGACTGCAAAAAGCACCTGAAAGGGTTTTTCGATTTTAAGTCTGGAACCTTCTGCGGAAGAAGGGAACTGGAACCTACAGGAAGATGGCGAATCCTTACTTAACAGAATGGAGGATATGTTGTTCAATCAATGGACTTCTTCTTCTAGGAATTTTCATTCAAAGATGAGTCAAAAATCGGCGGGAACTTTTCGGACAACCCAATAGATATTCTTTCGAGAAAAAGTCTACAAGAGCTGTAGACCACTAGTCTATAAGACGAGGGTCCGCAGAGATTGATATATGTGGCCCAAACACACAAACGAATATTGAATAAAGGTTACGAATACTGAAGTATATTACAAGAATTCAACATATGGCTTAAACAGAAACGCATCATTTTTTGAAAGTCCCCCATTCCCTGACCCGTGCATCTTCATTACTGCCCTATGATAGCTGTTTCCAAGATATATTCTGAGGCTGTTAAAAGAGGATGATTGTACATATTAATCTAAAGGTTTTGTAAGGAGTACAGTTCGGTTTTTTTGTAAATCTAGCAAATAATTTCAATTCAATTTATTAAAAATACTAAATGGAATTCAATACAATGAAATGGGAACTTGAAATCATGGAAGGCGTTACCAGTGAAAAACTTCGGTTGCTCACAGAAAGAGGAGGATGTGATTGTATTACAGGGAGAAAATATCCTCTTTCGTTTAAAGATCAAATGAAGAATGAAAAAATAATAAAGGAGACTCACCTTTGCAGAGCAGTCTTCTCTGAAGCGCGACATCACCCTTGCTCCTTGACCTTTGCTGAAATGCAGTTCAATTTTTGCACATAAAGAAGGGCGGAATCCAAGGATGAGTAGGTAAGCCAACATGTGTAGGTATGAAATTATGATTATTTAGTAGGCATTTCAGACCTGATTAAGGGCATCAGAAATTTTGCCCTTTCTTGAAATCCGGCCATCATTCCAGCTGCGGCGTTAGGATCGCCGTTTTTAACTGCTTCCATGTAATCCTTAACAGGACCAATTCTGTACTTGTGACGATGATTTTTTGACCATCCATTCTTGACAGCTATTTGTGTTCAACAGCTTTTACGATTATTAAGCATCCGAGCTTGAGTAAGGGTGCTGCTAGATTTTTCAATTTTAGCTCAGACACCCTTCTTTTCTGCTTCTCTCCGACCAGACAAAATGACTATACATGAACTACGTATTCGGTGAATCCGGTGAAACAGGACTCGAAACTTTTTGACCTTGAAATGTGTTCACCTGTAGCATTTTCTTGAGCAAAGCCATGTACATGAGCTCGAGCTTCTCTTTCACCACGTCTATGCAGACGGATACCAGCGAAAGACCAACCATCACCACCCCAAACGTGGCGATCATGTATTCCGGATGGGCTGGAGTCACGTCACCAAGACCTTAAGACCAGGCCACTGTGTGCTACAGGCAGATAGATGTTCAGTTTATACAATCCTTACCTATCGTGCTACACGAAATGAAAAAGAAGTATATGCTTGTGAAGTATGTCCACTCTTCCCAAATGCAGAACACTGCTGCTGCCAACATTATCCACGCAACAGTTGCTAGAAAAAATCTGATTCAAGAGATGAACGGTTTTTGTAATAGAAGCAAAATGTATAAAAATGATAGGTTTCCAGACGGCAGATGATAACACTACAGTTCAACATTTACAGCGTAGTAAGTTTGAATGCTAATTTTTCATGCATACCAAAAACTTCCGCGAATCAGCTCAACTGAGGACTCACTCACTTCGAATCTTCAGATGAATAAATCGCTACGATTCGACTAAAGATTTTGAGTGAGTTTTCAGTTGAGCCAATTCGTGGGAATACAACGTCTAGCTTTCCGGAGCCCACCCGTCCCCACGTCAGCGCCTGTACCTATATGCCAAAAGCAGTAATACAAATGGGCCCTTGCTTCCGGATCCTAAAGAAGCCACTAAATGGTAGGGAGATCAAGTACGACGCCGTCGGGCTGACGGAGATGAAACTGCACCGCCCGCTGCACTCCGCTTTCGAAACAGGAGAGCTGTTCGATCGTTAGAACTGGATAATTAGACAGCAAAGGCGTCCACTTTATTCTCCTGAACATGCACTTCGCCGTGAATATAAATCGGCCAACATCTCGGCTATCCGAATTGAGCATTTGCGATTAAGACAAACTTCAACTTCAGCTCTATCATTCTTTGCTGCTCACACGCCAAGTTCAAGCTACAGAGAGGGGCAGCGCAGCTGGAGGGGTTCTACAGGATGTCCAAGAACTGTGAGCGCCGAAATATTTGTTGACTTCACCTCAATGATGCAGCCTCTACAGTGCTACCGATTAGTTGCAGAAGTAGCTCTCTCACAATCTACCAATTACCGTGAGGCTCATTTCATGTTAACGACCATTCGTTGCCATTTGCAAACATTTACAGGGTGTCCCAAAATTATTTGCGCCAAAGTTCAGTAATTTTCAAGGTAGAAATAATCTATCAAATTCACATTGCCTGTTATTAATTAGTTGCATAAGAAGGTTTCCTTGCAATATGCATGGTTGCTGATGTGGAACTCCCATTACCTTTCAGAGTGAGGAGGCTCATTCAATGCCACTTGCAATCACTGACGCGCGAGAAGTGGAAGGGCGTTATGAAATTCTTTGGGATTTCTCTAATAACCGTATAGGAGGCTATTAAATGATATAGAAAAGAAGATTGAATCAGAGACAAACCAGGAAAGATAGAAAGGTAGAATGTTTCTGAAGATAGGTCTATTAAAATGGTCCGTATGCCAATCGATCGGGATACTGGGTTACCCATCAAAGGAAGTCAACGGGCACGGCTTATCCGAGTTATCGCGATGGAAGAATGTCATGCAGGAGCTTCACTGCCGTTCCTGTCGTATGCAGAAATTTTGCTTCAATTCCAATCTCAACAGATACTGCAGGGCCAAAAATGCAGAAAGTCGAAAGTGGTGACACGCAACCCTTCGTCGTTTTCCCTGATTAAGAAATTTTTACGTTAAAGCCATTCCTCAACAACCAAAACGTTCGCGTTCCGGAAAGAAACATCCAGCGTGTAATATCTCGCAAAAAGGTTGGTATCAGAACAGTAAAATGATGTTTTTCGAGGAAATCACTGGCAAGGGTAAGCCGCTCGAGGTTTCTTCGGTGCAGGCGTGAAAATTGACCAAGACTAGTGCTCAAAGGGCGTACTAATGGAAGTAAATAAAACATTAATCCGACTACGTTTTCTGAAACATCTCATAGCCCTTCCAGCAGGACGCTACTCNAGCCAACAGAGCCAAGTTTGCCCGCGAGTGGTGCCGACGACAGCTGCCTGACTTCATTGGTGAAGAGGAGTGGTCATCCTATTTTCCAGAACTTGACTCACTTGAATCCCACGAATGGTCCCTGATTAGAAGAGGACCTGACGAGTTTGCAGTTCCGGTTTGGAGTCCTAGAATGCAAAAGCTGGAGGACGGCTGGGAAGAAATGGAGAAGGATACCTGCGTGCCGCATGCGATCAAGTCGAAAGCTAACTTTGACTTCTATTCGCGCTCACGGGGGATATTTTGAAATGCGACTTTAGCATGTTGTAGCACATAGTGTTAGCTAGCGTGCATAGGAATTCCATCGTCTTTCGCAGTTAAGAAGTTTCAAATATATTGCTATAAATCGTCGCAAATAATTTTGGGACACCCTGTACATCCAAGAGTGGGACGGAAATCATGAAATTTCTTGTGACCTAACTATTACCGCAACAGAAGGCTATTGAAGCTCAGTTTAGGTTTAGGGTACCCTTTTCGAGCCAAAACGTGGAAGTATTGGTTGGGAATAGTGCATCGGTGGTGAGCGGAGCGAAAAATTCGACTGATTTTGAGGAAAATAAGTTTCCTCAGAAGTTGTGAAAATATAGTTTGTCCGAAATTACCATGACGAAATGACATGGAAGGAGTATTTAGACGAGATTTCAGTTGTTGAAGTTGCGCAAAGAGCTGACTACATCAAGCCGAAACTATTAGAATTGCCTTTCACTGTCGCTATGGGTTCCTCAAAGGCACGGTTCACGATAAAAAGGTTACTGAGTTCTTCCTCTAGGAATACTCAGCGCCCCCATGGGTGGCAGAAGGGATCTCTCGCTCCCACAATCTCGGCGCTTAGGGCATAGTGGAAACCCTGTTGCTGCTGTGATTGGCTTTAACGCCCCTCGATCGATGTCACGTTAGACGAGTGTCGAGACAATACAGATTACAACTATTCGTTCTAGGACCCACACACAATCAGCTGGTCGCCGAGTAACGAGGCGGTGTTTTGTGATTTTCTCCCATTCTTTTTTCCTCTGTCATTCTTTTTGCTGCCGCAATCCTTATTCGATTTCCTACTCTTAGAGGCTAAAAAGGTGAGCTACTTTTGCTGTTACTAGTTTTTTTGTTAACTCATGCTTATAAAAGGATGAATTTTTGCTTACCATAGCCGCACCAGGACCCATACGTATAGCCCTACTCTTCTTTATTTTTCTGAACGCATTCTCGTTCAGTCCCCTTTTTAACAGGTTTTCGGAGCTTCTTTTCACTCTGGAAAAACCGATTTACGCATTTTCTTCACCTTCATCGCACTATTTTCGATCTTGTCTTTCAATTTTCATCATAATCTAGAATACCCAAAATTATCGTGAACTGTGCCTTTAAGAATGATGCAGCCTCTACAATGCTGTTGAAAGTCGCCCGCATATAGCCACGGGATAAACCAATATTTATAACAAACCTCAGCCATTGACTACTACGACCACACTATTTGACGTTTGGAGTCTTCTCCGTTGTAGACATTCTTCCCTATTTTTCTAGTCATTATTCCTTCTACGTTTCCTCCTGAAGGCAACGCACAAAAAATATTCTGCAATTCATTAGATTTCTCGGGACTCTACAGTAAACAAGCTAGCATTCAGAGCCCCATATGGCCAAGGTCGTTCACTCCTCTATGGCCCTTGCATTCTGTCCCCAAAAGTTGGGCGGGATCTTGCACAGCACGCGCCATTCTCTGTGACGTCGAGCTTCACTACAGGTAACTTCAGAGACTTAAAATAATTTTTGTGACTTCGTTTTTCCATTAACCAACCTCTCAACAGATGCCATTTTTGCACTCCTTGCAAGGCATGGTTTGCGGAATCGAAACCTTGGCTTTTTGAATGCAAACATGAGTGAGTGTAGCCTTTTTCTATAGTGCACTGGAGCTCTAATTACGCTGTATCTAGATCGTGCCCGACAACGGAGCCATATAGATGTAAATACCGCCCCTCTCACCCAAAAGCATCGCTGAATAACGTCAAGCCGCAAATGTCGTCAGCCATTTTCAAATAACGGAAATGTACGGGGCTGTGTCGATCTTTAAAAAAATGTGTAGCTATGGAAAAGGGGGTAAGAAGGGGGCGGGGGTGGGGGGGGGGGGGGGATGTTGCCTCTGGAGAAAAGATTGAAGCACATAGCCCTGTTACATTGATACACCAGAAAAATTGACTGGTCCTCTTCAATCAGTCCATGACTTTAGCAGCACAGAAAATTTATTGCGAAATCTATCTATGACGTCGCTGCGCTATTAGTTTGTTGAAGAAAAGAGACAACCGACGATGACGCAATCTTCCTCTGTGATCTTCTTGTCAAAAATTCCGTTGCAACCGTAGTTGGCAGCTGTGCCTAGAGCAGCGGTGACCTGAACGTATACGATGAGTAACTTCTGCTGCCAAAGCACGACACAGAAAGATAGAGTGCATTGTTTCACTGGAACAATTTTAATATGCCTTGAAGGCAAGTGCAACCGAACCACATTACATGATTACCCTCTAACACTTGCGCTTGGATTTGGCTTTGCAAAGCTATAATAGTCAGGACATTAGCTCGAAAGTGGGCTACGTCTATCAGACGTTCGACCACATTCAATTTCGTCTCACGAAGACCGGTGTGAAAGAAATAACTTACAACTTGAACTCGCTTTCTTTTTTTTTGAGAAGGGAATCGCGAAAGGAGAACTTGTGAAATGGGCACACCTTCCTCCTTTGTACGACAACTTGGCCATTTTAGAAACTTTTTTTGTCATCCATTGGAGTGCTCCACCGATAGGTATTCGCTCCAATTCTAAGTGTCGCTTTTTGTGTACATAACATGACAACTACCTGTACAACAAAAGCGTCGAAAATACATCATCAAAAGTTTTCCTTTGCTTCTCATTGAAGCACTTTGTGTCCAGATGCTTTCCGAAGCCACGCGATGATACGTCGGATGAACTCAATAAGGTGGCTCCAACCAAAGTTCGCGATTTCCTTCGAAAACCAAAAAAGAAAGCGAGTTCAGGTTGTAGGTTATTTCCTTCACACCGGTCTTCGTGAGACGAGATTGAATATGGTTGAACGTCTGATATACGTAGCTCCACGTTCGAGCTAATGTCTTAACTGTTACAGCTTAGCAGTGCTAAAACCAAGCACAAGTGTTAGGGGGTAATCATGTAATGTGGTTCGGTTGAACTTGCCTTCAAGGTATATTAAAATTGTTCACGTGAAACAATGCACTCTATTTTTCTGTAACGTCTTTTGGCAGCAGAAGTTGCTCATTGGCTGCTCTCATAATCCGCCGGCCGGCGTGCTAGCCGAGGCAGTGCTACGGGGGAGGAAGACGGGCGGTCGAAGGACTGAAAACAAAGAAGAGCAAGATCAAAAACCAAACAACCAGGAGCTTGTACAAATGGTTTTTGATCTTGCCCCTCTTTGTTAACAGCCCTTCGAAGGGGCTGCCGGATCGTCTGCCTCCCTCCTCCCCCCTAGCACTGCCTCGGCTAGCACGCCGGCCGGCCGGCGGACTATGAAAGCAGCCATCGTATACGTTCAGGTCACCGCTGCTCTAGGCACAGATGCCAACTGTGGTTGCAACGGAATTTTTTACAAGAAGAACACAGAGAAAGATTGCATCATCGTCAGTTGTCTCTTTTCTTTAACAAACTAAAAGAGCAACGACGTCATAGATGGACTTCGCAACAAATTAGTTGTACTGCAGAAGTGCCGACATCTGCCCAAATATAAAAGGTATCCAACGAATATGTGAGAGTCGACCTAGCTAAATGGACAGTCTCACTACAGTTGATTCTCAGCCTCCAACTATCCCAAGCATGAGATTTGGAAACACGCCATATACACCACTTCTCCTCAAAATTTCGGACCATAACCTGAGTGGAAGACATCTGAACATAAAGATACATAAAGTGCATAAACAGACACTTGGCATCTGCCCAAAATATAGAAGTTATTCGACGAATATATGAGAGCCGACCTAGCCAAATGGACTGTCCTTTTCCATAATAACAGACCCCGAACAACTCTTTCCTCTAATAAAAAATTAAAATCACTTGGCAGTCTATGTGCTTCCCCAATGAGAAATATCGCGCAATCACCGCGATCGTTGCAGCTTCTGATGCGCTGTGCTCGTAGTTCCGATACACTTCTCACAATATAGCGCCGTGCTCGCAGCATCGATGCTCCTCTCAAAACAGCGGAAGACTGTGCGATATCAAGGAAGCCCATCTCTTCAGAACATAGCGAGCCGAATATAAGGGGGAAAGGAAAGTTGTGCGCATTTCTTCTTTATTCCCGCCAGTTCGCCTCTCTGTACGCCTTAATCCTTCTCTTCACTTCTATCTCTTCATCCCATTGTGCGCCTTCATCTTTTCTTTACCTTCGTTCGCCGCTTTATGCGCATTAGCTTAGAACGCTAATAATTGTCTGATTGTTATTTATGTCAGTGCCTTGTTCCTCATATGTCATGGTTGTTTTTACTTGATTGTTTACCCGTGTTGTTGAAAGGTTTAATTACCCAAGTTTGAGGGATAAATATCTGTGCGCCAGTGTGTGGTTCTGTACCAACGAACGAATTGCGCGTAGAAAATAATTTTAAGAAATACGACTTCTCTGATAGACGCACAAATGAACAGGTAGTCAGATGTAGTAGTGATTATGATATCCTGAAGTTAAAACTCCTACTAAAGTTATGGAATGATATCTAGTCATAGGCCGGCTATAGGTTGGAAAATAGAAGTGTTGCGCAAATTTGTAAATTAAATAATTTCCTATTTCGGCAGATAATGAATTCGATTGCTAACTTGAACATTAGACGACGTCATGACGACAGAATGGGTGTTTGGACGTGCTTTACGTCGGGTGGAATTGCATCAAAAGTCGGCTGCAGCATCCCTACCGCCGAAATTAGTTTTCCGCCATTGCAGTGAGTCACAGGTGCTTCCATTCGTAGTACCATGCGACAACGGTCATGCTGGTCAACGACCTCAGCCGAAACGTGCATCTACTCAGAATGCCGACGGCTACATCGGTCGCCGATTGATATTTCACGAATTGATAGCTTTCGCTCTTCTGGGTTATTCTTGTGTTCTGAAACGCTTGCTTTATCTGGCCCTATTTTGCATTTTGAATGATCAGAGGTTTTCCACTGGCTGTTTAGTATTTTCCGCTGTCTATGACCTTGTTTCTCACAGAGCTTCTTTGTTGTTGGCTTTTTTTGAATTCAGTGTTGAGAGTTAGAATAGATGCTAGAATCTTCAATTTTGTGCTGCTCTATCGATGGTCATGTGACTTATTTAAATTTGACGCTCACAAACCCAAGTTCTGTTCCATTTCGAATGCACTGAAGAGGCGCTGAATAGGTCAGAGCCAGCTCAGAAGGCCGGGGTCGAGGTCAGCGTCATTACTATGAATGTGACCACTGCACGTCTTAGAAGATCAGCTTTCACATCCTTTACATATATGCTTCACTGCGAATAGTGCAGCCTCTCGAAGGCGATCAAACACATCCACTCGGGGTATGTCACCAGGACCGCAGACCTTTGAGCCTTCACTATGCTCCCTCTAGGCTGCCTTCGACAACGCCCCCTGTAACATGCTCCGGAATAGGAGGAAAATTTGTTCTAGCTGTATGTCTCAGCAGCCACTTCCATCTTGAACTACGCCTTAAAATTTAAAATACAAAGCTACACTCATCCAGTAATTGAGAAGAATCGTGGTTTCCTGCCACAAAAAGAAACAAAACACAAAAAGAAAGACGTCGCTATGACTGAAGACGTTTGAAAAAACTTCAGTGAAAGGGTGGTCGTCGTGGTCGCTTCTGTATTCAAGAATTCCAAGAGTTGGAATTCTGCGGAAAGCGGAACATTTTATGATATTTCTTTCGGACATGATATGACTGATGCCTGGTTTACAATCTTCTCAGCGACAGATTCGCGCTAGAACTTTCTAATTTCTGTAGCCTTATCCATCTATTACAAGAGGCGATCATTCGGCTTGAAGGGCCTTTTCCCAGACCTAAAACCACCACCAAACACACCTTTTTCACTGTTAGGGTAGGTCATAGAAATTTACGTTTTAGTGAATTCAATTGCTTCCCGAGCTCTCAAGCACCTTCAGACGCTGAAGTGGCTGAGCTTAATGGTTAAAGCATCTTTGTCAATACGGTTCATAGTTGAAAGCACAGTTCACCACAATTTTACGTTATCTGATATCAGACAAGTGATGAAAATGATAGTCCAGAACAGAGCAATGGTGAAGAAAACGCGAAAATCGAAGTATTGTTCAAAAAAAAAAAAANCGCACGGCGCATCACACTGAGGTCTCGAGATGACATTGCAGTACCTCCAAGTGTCATTGGAGCAAATGATATGCATTTGTCTGTGTTATCTTCTTCTTGAACTGACTGCCGTGGACCAAACGCAAAGCGTACGCCCCAGTGACAATTGCGACGTTTGTCAAATATCGCGGGCCGACTCGCCGCGTGCGACGGCTGCCGCGTGACCTAGATTCGACGGACACGAGCAACGAAGCGCACCCGTTGCGAAGGCCTTCATTACGTCCTATCTTGAGTGTTTTTCACAAAACAGTATTTCCTACTCTACCTGGGGGTAACAGGGAGAAATATCTGAAATCATTTTTAACGTGAACTGTGTCTTAAAGGGACTTGACTGTGGTCACTACAGTGCTTGATGATGTCGCAGTGATGCCATGGGTTTCGTTTCTAACGTTGTATTATACATCGTATTGGATAGAAATACATACACATTACGGGAACACCCACCACAAATAGCCGACAGAACTGGAGGGTCGGGTGATGACTCTTCGATGGCGTCATCGTTATGTTCCTCGGGCTAAAATTAAACTACTACTGATGTCTCTATTGTGTTTCGGATGGTAACAGCGATACTGTACTAGTGGCCGGAAGTGAGGACTATCGAACTTTTCTTACTAGGGATTTTGATAAAGAATGTCCATACCGCAACTAAACTTGCAAGAGACACGTTGCTATTGAGCCCGAGGGAAGATAGTTTCTTGCTCATTGAGACGTATCGTAGGCGTTCCTTCGAGCCCTCCTTCAGGCCAACGATTCCTGCTCGGACACCTTAACAAAGAGCAGTGAACATGTAAAGGGTGCAAAATCGAACAGTAAGTAAGAGGGGAAGTCCTACTAGTTAACATACCTAGAAATAGAAGGAAATCACTTGAGAAGCTGGCAATATGCTTTACCCAAACAAGTAGCAATGAGCCGAGATCGTTGAGAATTAATAGCATAATAGGAATACCAAACATCGAATAGATCATCGTCGCTACTTTACCTGCGGTTGTGGTACACGCAATATTACCGTACCCTGAAACAGTATAGCCCACGGTTTCCTGCCGCAAGGTCTCACTATGCAAATAGATAGTCGCGAAAATGTTAGTCACAATAGCGACAACGTGAAAGCCACCACGTTGGTTACTAGTTCGCTAGATGATTGCGAAAAGTTGGAAGTAAACTAATGAGTGGTTGTAGATGACCTACCAATAGTTGTGTAAATAGTGCCGGCATAGAGAAAAGCCATCCAGAATGTCCATGCACTTTCCAGAGAAGGTTCTTCAAGACCGAGATCACTTTCAAATGTCAGAATCGATTCCTTCCACTTCTCCTCACGATCTTCTTTATTGTTTTGATGGATTGCTCGCAAACTGTAATAAGTAGAGGACTCGAAACTATCTAAAACAGCATATGTTCGTATGCTTTGTATAAGTTTATTTATAAAAACATGCTTGAGAATCATTATATCTCTGGCTATAAGACGGGCATGGTAGGCATCCTGTTTGGCAGCCAAGTCAGTTGGCACCTAAAATATGAAAAAATAAAAGCTTGGGGGTGAGAGGAAAAAAAGTGGAAAGGCATCAACCTCGAGTGTCATAAACAGCCACGCTCCGAACAATGAGTAGCAGGCAATCACGAACAGTAGTTTGAATTTGGACAATATGAAACGAAACGGAGCGCTGATCACAGTGAGGAAGGCGCGTCTGGAAAGTATCTGATAGAATTAATCTTGATCCTTGAAAATCCATAGATCTGATACCTTAGCAAACGCAACAAAAAGAATTAAAAACGTTAAAAGTGCGCATAGCTGTTGGAATTTGCAAACGTTTCTTTCTAACCCAAAACTGGATCGACTAAAGTAAAGGACTTCATCCTCTATCTTAACAAAGTAAAGGCCTATTAAACTCTTCTATTCGTACGTGTGAGAAAATCAGCTCTTCTTGTCGGCAAACTCCGAGCATCCTTCCAAATTCTAGAGGAGAATAGTGAAAGGTTCAGCTTAGTTCTGAGACAGTAGGGCCTATCTCTTTTCTGAGATGCGAAAATCTATAAGCCTAAATCTTCAAGACGAGGAGATTCCAGGAGAGTGAAGGATTTGGTATTGTGGAACGATGTTTGTCCACAAAGATCGAAATTAGTAGCAGATCGTTGGCTCAGTATGTGTTCACACAGAGCATTTATTACAACAACCACTGTTCCCTGTCTCCTGTTAGTCTTTTGAATATAACAACATTTTGCTTTCAGAAATAAGCGTTCACATACATCTCACAGTCACTTATGGGTGCGATTAACATAGATAGCAATCGGAGTTTTTCTAATAGCTCCTCAGAAAATATCCATAGCAGAAATTCGACTGATAAACGGTATTAGAACAAGTCTATGTCAGTTATCCTCTAAGGTTCCGCTATCAGAATTTAGCCAAACTGAAGAAATGGAGTACCCGAATGCTAACGAAAACGAAAATGAAGTTTTTGAACGCAAATTCTTCCGATGAAGACAGTATGAGGTTCTTCGAAAATGCTCGAAGATCTGGAATTGTGACTTGGGTTAACCCGAGATGAGGTTGACCAGTCATTCTCAAGGACGAAAAATTGAAGAAACTCCTTCAATATCACACCCTTTACACGGCTGAGTCTGTATGTGTACGTGTACAATTACGAAAGGGTAAAAGTACCGATAGTAGGTGACAGTAAAAGATAACAACTGATGGGAGCTGTTAAGGAGTCCCAGAAGACAAGAGCCAGTGCTTCTGCTACAATATGGGGCTGAGCTTTTGCAGCCACATATTGCAGATGAGCAGTGTGGATGTTTGGTAAAATTTAGGGAAAGGGAATGATAACAAGTGATAATTGACGATGAGATGATGGGCCACTATATCTGATCCTCTTTCCACTGTTAACGATGAAGCTTCGCTACTGCACTGTATTATGTTGAGTATGACTAAATCGAAGATAATGAATAGCAAAAATCATGATAGGAGCTGGTAACCGATCTTAATGTTAGAAAGCGAGAGCTATTCATCTCCTGATCCTCTCGTATTTACGATGCAGGGTTGACGATGTAGTTATATGCAATAAGTTTGTATTGTATATTAGAAATACAAAAAAGGACAAAATTTGTGGTAAAGACAAAGTAGGGGAGCCTCTACCATATGAAAATAGGTTTGTTTCCTGCTATTTGATTGTGATCGCTACACATCAAGATTTGCTATCGGACGAGGTCACGATTCTCTTCATTCCGGTATCAGATTGCACAAAATTTATCCGACCACCAAAAACCTGCAAATCTGGAGTAGCGGTTTTTATCAAACAAGATAAGAAGCGAAAGGAATCATGGGTGGCGGTGTTCCTCCCCGGACAAGCACGACGAGCGGCAGTGGTCAAACGGCGGATACAGCACCCTTCCACTGAGTACTCAAAACTTCCCTTTCATAGTGGACGGCTGTGTGCGGTCGGGTGCTGCGTGAGCGACGCGATTTTCGGGAAGAATTATCCACACCCTCTGATCATCAGCTGAAAACTTCAGTAGGTACATGGCATTCGGGGATTCAAGGCTTCGCCTGACTTAAGAAGTTACTCACTTAATATAGGACGAAAACAAGTGAGCATTAAACTTAATGTTGAGAAAAAAGAAATTGTGTTGCGTCATATTGAGTACAACCCTGAAGAAGGAAAGGAAGACGTTCTGCTCATGCCGCCCCCCCCCCCCCCTCCCTCTTTCCTCCTTGAAAGTCAAGTTTCAAAGTTTCAACCGAATCCAAGCATTCTCTTTCAGAAAATATTCAACCACATTCGTGTCATTAGTTACAGAAGCAAATCGGCGCTACAGCAGGGCATTTCGGCTTTGCCACAGATAGAAGGGGAACTTGGCGTAAGTCGAGCGATTCGTCAGGTACTATGTAAGAAGTAGGCAGCACTGGGCAATAATATTAATGGTCTCCTTATGATGATCGTTCGCTGGTGTCCGAACTCATGACATCCAGAAGCGATAGCGACAGCTCCACAGATGCTCGTAATATAGCTCATTTGTTTTGTGAACAGTTACAGTCCAAGGACGAAAAAATTGGAAGGCTAATTGAAACATGCAGCATTGTTCTGATAGGCATGGCATCTGAGCCAAATGGCCCTTCACCTTGTACTTAGATTTTTTTGTTGTAAAGTTATTAAGTTAACTTTCTTCATGTATACATATAATTAGCCTTCCTTTTCACTAGTTATTCAGATAAGTTCAATAAAATGATATGTTATACGCTTAGCAATATTATAAGCAATGAAATACATCAATACCACAGCAACTTAAAATACACTAATAGTACACAAAATACAGTGTGGCAATTTTCGTTACAACCACCTTTATATTCCTTTTGCATTCTTTGAATTTTAACTTGTTATATTATTATATTATATATAACGAGCTTTATTCTTTTGTTTTCCCTTACCCTACAGATGAGCACGAAGAGAGATTATTGTCCAGTTTTACTTCAGTCTAGGGCACGTGCGGAACGGAAGTTGGACTTTGATTTATCCCCCTTAACTTAATTAATTTCTTTAAATGTCAACATTTATAGTATTCTGAACAGGCAAAGGGTGAAGACCACTTTTTATTTGCTACAAAACCTTTTTTGACTCGTATGACCTTAACATCGGAAAGTCGTTAGGTAAAGACATTCATTCATCGCCTTGGGAATGAGGTGCCTTCAGAAAAGAGCGGTAAGCTTGGGGCTTCCACGACTATTAGTGGAAAGCACACTTCACAGGGGTTACTTAGTGCTGGGGAAGATATCTTGGATTTAGTGATAATTGCTATTCCTCCCTTGATGCTCACCTATCAATCCACTCACTACACATCAGGTCACGCGAAACTTACGGTACAACCAAGTGCAAAGAAGACGAATAACACTTCGTCATTATGTAAACATGTAATACGACAGGATAGTTCAGGCGAAAAAAAAGCATGTGGCTTTCACTCGCAAAGGTTAAGCTGCGTGCGATAAACACTTCTAAAAGACCACAAATCTTGGAGAGGAGCAAAAACGAGCAGGACGAAGGAGGATGTTTCCGAGTCCACAGAAAAAGCTCAGCTAGTTGAGTATTTCAGATGAAGGTCTAACCGAATAGCATAACCGGCGGACGAAAAATTAAGGGGCAAACATTTATTGTACAACTCCCCACTAATTCCGATCTATCCACCAGATCGCCGGCCGTGTTTTACAAAGAATTTTTCGCACATATTGTGAAACGTTGGCACTTACATATATATTGGTATTTATAGCTTTTGGTAGGTACTGAAGCAGTGGAAAGAGCGGTTGATAGCTTTGCAATACTCAAGAAGGCGAGCTGGAGCTCACGAAAACAACTTCGATAGGATTGTGTTCCCTTAGCGTTGAATCCTACCGTCGCATGGTCCACGGTTCTCGCATTGGAACTACGGCATGTTCGGCCGATACTTCAGATGCGTATAGCTCCCTTTTGATCACGTTCATTGAGCCTCGAACTCCATTGCCTTCATCATATCCTTTCTCTTGAAGGATGAAAGGGGACTCTTTCAACTTCGCCCATATGGCGAAAATCCAGGCCTCTATAGTGTTGTCCATGCTGTCATCAATTACTAGATCATCCCCTAGACAACGGAACTCTTATACTCTTTCTACGACTTTCTCGCCATCATCTTGGTTTCTCTCCATACATTCTGTGAAACTAAGTTCATGTTCAGCCAGAGTTCACTCATCGCAGCAATAGTTAAGCCGAAGGGCTTATGACCGCGTTGGAGCTATGCTGAATTACCTTGTCCAGTAAGATAGGGAGTTTCGAAACATTTCGTTCTCTAAGCGTTTTTCTGAGGGCTGACCTGTCGAAGGCATTCTTCAGACCAAGGAATGCCAAGGAGCGGGGTCTACGGTTTCAACAATTCTTCCTCATTAGCGTACATATAGCTAGGGAGATGGCATCCGTTATAAACCTTAGGACAAGAAGGCGGACAAGAAGATAATCTCCCAAATGATCGGGATCAGTTTTACGATTCTGGTTCAGATATTTGTCTGAGCAGCCGGAAGGGGACCTTCTTCCCTTCTCGACGCTCGAGCTTCTCTAATAAATGGCCCACTTCAGTAAACTTAGCCTTGACGAACCTCTCGCAACTTCTGCGGGCACTAGATGTTTCGGAGCTCACGTCTTTTTTCGACACCTGCAGGTGGCTTGACTTTGCCGTATAACTCGCTAAACTTCATCCTTCCGAGACCATTTTTTCTCCTCGCATTCACTGTGAGCCTCACCCAGCGTTTTCGTTGAACATAGCAGGATAACCTTCACAGCCTTACTTTAAATTTGATAGGTCCTACAGGATTTGGAAACAAGCCTACAGCATCGTCCATTGAGATCTTCTTTTTCAGCTCAGTGCCGCTTCCACTATCAGATCCTCCGTTGTGTTGTCTGTTGAAGACGTCTGTGCTGCGGACCTAGATCTTGCCAGGGAGTGAAGAGAAGAGCACATGATCGAATTCCGTTTATTTTACACCACTCCTGTAGACTATCTTCTGACTCTTTTCGCGAAGACAGTGCTGCGAATGCTCTCCATTTCTTTATTTTTGAAACCTGATCC